GACAAGTGCTGCTAGACGTAATGACAGACAAACCCCAACACACTGAGGCTAAAGGGCCTCATCACCCTACTCTCAACAAGACTGGTCATCCTTTCACAGACGATTCTTAGGAAACAGCATTGCTGGTATCAAAACCAGGTAAAGACACAACAACAGAAGGAGAATTATAGGGCAGTTTCCCAATGATCCTAACTGCAAAACTTGTCAAAAAAGAACTTGCAGATAAAGCACATGTGCACGTTCAAAAGACCATTCACTGTGATCAAGTTGACTCCATTCCAGTGGCACAAGGATCGCCCAACATTTACAAATCAATTAATATAATACACCACAGAAATAGACTTGAGCACAGCAGTCTCGGAATCGTCTCCATAGACACAGAAATGGCTTCTGATGAAATCCAGCACGGCTTTATAACAAATGCCCCCAAGACGTTAGGAATAGGAAAAACATATTCCAACACACTAAAGGCCGTATGCAACAAACCTCTAGCCATCATACCAAATGGGGGTAATCTAAAGCATTTTCACAGTAAGAGTGAGTACTCATTCTCCCCACTACTATCTAATAGTACTTGAAGTATTAGCTAAAGCAATAAGACAAGAAAATAAAATAAAGTACTAATAAGACAGCAAGAAGCTCAACTCTCCCCATTTTTAGATAATGTAATACACAGGAGACTCTACAGACTTCGTCAGAAGACTCTTAGAGCTGATAAGTATTTTCAGCAAAGCAGCAGGAGGAAAAAACATTCAACCTCACTCAGCATCAGATGCATGAAATTAAAGAATCTCTTCTACCTTGCCCCAGTGAGAATCACAGACATTAACACATGCTAACAAACACTGTCGAGGAGGTAAACAAAATGGAACCCTCACGCACTGCTTGGAAGGATATAGAGTGGCCCAACCTCTGTGGAAATAGCTACAGAGCCTCCTCAGAAAAAACAAAACCTAGAACCACCAAATGACCAAGCTCAGTCACATCTAGGTACTCACACAAAGATTCCAAGTCAGAGACAGCTACAGCTCATCCGTGTTTGCTGCCGTCTACACACAGCAGCTAAGTTATACAACACACCCCGGTGCCCACCGACAGAAATGAATAAAGAGCCTTGGCCTGCTTTCCAGTTGTGCAGAAGAATGAAGTTCACGTCAACAGACCAATAATGACGTTAGGTGGATTGAGCCAGTCGCAGAAAGATGAGTACCCCATGTTTTCTCTCATTTGCAGGTACTGGATGTTGCATAAACACATAAAATCACGTAGATGACATAAACATCGAAGCAAAATTGTTCAAGAAAACAGAGTACTAAAGGATAGGAAGGGAGGAAGGGGACACAGACACAGAGACAATGCACTCAAAGTACATGGTATAACTGATTGAAAATGTCCTTAGGTGGCCCAGTAGCAGGTACAATAGATATAGACCAATGGAAATCTTAAATGTATTTTTAAACATTTAAAAAACACCATCAAGCAACATCTCCCAGCTCTCTCCCTGTGGCTTACTTATGTGTGTGTCTGAGTGTAGCAAGTGTTTCTGATGTCCCTTCTCTGCCATTCAAACAGGAATACACACCTATGGTGGTAAGAAAGGAAATAATTTTGGTTTCTTAAGTAAAAACCCATAGATGTTGTCTTTCCAGTATATTTCTGAATCACCTATTAATTCGCCTTTATAAACATTTTCAAATTACGTTATTTATCTCCTAATGCTTTTGTTGTTGTTACAGATGTAGGACACCATGTCATTTGCATCTTCTAATAATTTCTAATAAGTGGCAATACATGGAATTCAATACAATCGTTAGTCAATTGCTTGTAAACATTTTCTTTTGAACAGAAGAAAATAAAAAATTTAAGATGATAAAACACTAAGAAATGGGTGAAGAGATGCAGAGAAATATAAGTATTTTTCCTTTTTTGGTGCTATACATTCTAGACACAGAAAATGCACAGTGAAACATATGTAGTAAATGTTTTGGATTTATTATTTTTTCAAAAAAATTCAGAAGTGTACTTTGTAACTTTAAAACAAATTAAAAAAAAACCCAGAAACTAAAGATGAAACTAAATGAAAGAAAAGAAGAAATACCACAGAGAACTGAGAAAAGCATAGAAAGAGGTGCAATTATCAGATCATTAGTCGGTTTGCTATACACTGAAGAATATTAATAATCAGGACAATACACACTCAAAGGCCAGGCAGCACTTTTAAGAGTTTGCTGATATGAGGCACATAACTTGCTAGAGTGGTTAGTTATGGGTGTAGCAGACTCTAATGGGTCACATGAGAGGGAAGTCCAGCTTTCTGTGATGTCTTCCAGAGAAGCATGAAGAAGGATGCTGTGGGGACACCATGATAGCAATAATACAGGAACTGGGGCTGGAGAGAGGTTCAGCAGTCAAGAGTGCTTGCTGCTCTTCTAAGGACTGTGTTTAGTTCCCAACACCCACATGGTGGCTCACAACAATCTGTGATTCCAGTACCAGGGGATCCAACGCCCTCTTCTGACCCCTATGGGCACTGCATGCCTGTGGTGCACGTAATTACATCCAGGTCCATACATATACAAATAAACTTTTTTATTAAAAGTAAATAAAAATAAAATCTTTCTTTATAATGGGAAATAAGCCAAATAGCCTTCAACATGGAACACTTAGTGTAATTAAGATACATTTGACCACAAATGCTTTGTAATAGTTAGAATCTAATGGGCCTGTGACTACTGAGTTAAAATGATTATAAATTTTTTAAAAATGTGTTTTTATAGAGTACAGGAAAATAATTTCTATGACAAAATGTATTTCTATTACCCATGCAGTTGCAAATAAATAAAAATTCCCTGAAAACACAGATGAGTATGGAAAGTACAAACATGCTCCTCAGGAAAGCGGCAGGCACTGAAGTGTGCAAATTCACCGGCACAGCCCCAAATGTTGCTTAACAAGCACTGATAACACCACAATGGATCACAAATGTGGCCATTTAGTTCTAGCGTGTCAATAAATCCTCAGTTCCCTGCAAGGAGTGTGTGTGTGTGTGTGTGTGTGTGTGTGTCTGTGTGTCTGTGTGTGTCTGTGTCTATGTCTGTGTCTCTGTGTATGTGCCTGTGTGTGTCTGTGTATATGTGAAAAGGTTACTCTCAAACACCTAATTCATTAAGAACTGTGGAGAAAAACAAAAGAAATGAAAAATGTTGGGAACAGTGAACCCCAGATCCTGAATTTCTTGTAAACAACTTGTTTTCCCCTGCTCTAAGTGCCTACAGCTGCTCTGAGCATGAGACCCTCAGGAGTTCCTGATGGCAGGAGAGTGGTTCTGGTGGGTTTGAATGGGGCGTGGCTATCCCTATATAAGCTGCCCCTGAACACAATAAAGGGGGCGTTCTTGGGGCATTCTGGTATCAAGGATGGTCCGTGTCTCTGTCTCTGTGTGTTTGTGTGTTTCAATCTCCAGCCCCTTGCCCATTACATGAACTGTATGGTGCGCCACAGAAAAATATCAAAAATAAACTACGAAAAAAATAAAAAATCTATTTCCTTTGAACGTTCTTCTATTTGGATCTCAGAGGTAACCATACCAAGGACAGGTGACCTCTGAGCCCGTGTCAGGGCGTCAGGACCATGCAGCCACATTTTAGGATTGATAAAAAAGAGAGTTGATGTCGGGCAAGGACAAAGCAGACACCAACCGGAGGTGGTTCATGGGACAAGGGCCTGTGTCAGATGCTCTCTTCTGTGTTTCCTGGATCAGAAGGTCAAAACAGCTGTGGGGATTTGGGTGGGAGCCGAGTGAATCTCTTCCCCCTGTAGGAGTTTCTCTAGCGTGCACCGAAGCTATCTCTCATCAGCCGGGAATAGAGACCTACTAAGCTATAGAGACCTACTAAGCGATAGAGACCTACTAAGCGATATTAGGTATGCTGGGAGTTTTGTTTCATTCTTTTTTTTTTTTTTTTAGGTTGGTTGACAGAGAAGGCTGAGGGACGCTGGCAAGAGAACAGAGCGGAACTCCCCCATGAGGAGAGCAGAAGACTCTGCACCAGAGAGATCTGTGTGGCACGGAGTAAGGAGCAAGCGGTTATGGCTTTATTATCTTTATAAAATCCCCCTCAAGGGTAAGCAGCCACAGTGTTGGTTTTAATAAAAGTGGGACTGCAAACAGGGGCCTCTGAAGACAAACGGTTAACACACATTCCTGTAGACTCCGATCAGGTGCACATAATCTCCTGCTTGGTCACCAGTCGCCTGGCCAGAGCGAAGAGAATCGGTTGAGAGCTTGCCCTCGGAGCTTGCCCTCTGTTGGAACGACGGAAGCTGTGCCGATGGACTAACACCCACATGTGGGGGTTCTAGAAACAAGACACAGGGTCCTAAAATCCTAACCTTGACTCTGATTGTCCTCCTTGCGGGACATTAACTCTAACTGAGAGCTGAGTTTTGCCCTAAGGTGTCACTTTAAACTCTCTAGAAATGTTGGGGAGAATGGGAGCTTGAACCCAGACACAGGGACAAGCGGATGGAAGCACAGTCAGCCACAGCACAGTGTGGGGCAGCAAGGGATGCCTAAGGGACCGTGCGGGTTTGGACTGTGCTCCAGCTTAGACTCTATCCTCTGCATGGCCTACATGGGTGACCCGGGAGAGCTGTACTCCTCAAGGACATTTTCTGGGATACCTGAGAGGTGGATAGACGGATGGACAGATGGTGGACAGACCGGCAGACAACTCTACAAGGGAATTAACAGTAGACTTTTGTCCCCGTGTTCTTCCACATCAGCCATTCAGAAGCGGTGTTCTACTTTGAAAGAATATTCACTGAAGGTGCTCCAGGCTGGCTTCCCCGCACTGCCCGTAAACATCTGATTCACCAGACATATCCACAACACACTCTGTGAAGCTTGGGTAGTAGTTTTCTCCCCAGACTCACTACCATACCAAAGCAATTAGAATAATTAATTTACCCTAGAACCCATTGATCTAAAAATAAATTACCACAATTGGGTATCTGCAGGTTTGCCAGGGGGGTGTTCTTGCTGCTTTCATTGAGGCAGTACAAGTCCTGAGTGTCTGGGCTGCCTTTAGTCTCTTGGAGAGTCTTGATCCACATAATGTCGCAGGAACACGTGAATGGATTGCCCACCAGGACCCTACATGGAACAGAAATGCAACCCAATCAGGCTCCACATAAGTTTCAGCTTCTCTGGTATTTATGAATGGACTACAGGAGGAAAGCATCTCCGCCGCCAACCTTGGAAAGGCATGCCCACCTTCGTGGCATGACAATGCTTTTTATTCATCCCGGTATCTAATAACTCCTGTGCTGCGTTCTGTGCAAACACTGCAGAAGCTAAAAGCAGTGAAGAAATGCAGAACTTTGCAGATCCGAACAACACACAGCTACATCAGAGCGTCTCATGATGGGGGAGGGGGCTGCTTCCGTACATAAGTGAAGCTGCCAGTGATAATATTTTAGAAGCATTGACACACCTGTTTCTGACCAAGTTAGAGACTTAAGAGTTCTCAATTCAGTGGGCAAAGCAGAACCCGTTTGTCTCCGTTTAAAATGAAATTAGAGATATCGGAATCCAAGGCTGAGGTGCAGGAACCAGGAGACTGTCTCTCTAGCCTTTCTGCATTATACAACCAGAGTCCTTTTCATTCATGCAAGAAGGTTAAGGGCTAAGCTGGACGGAAGGAAGGTAGAGAACACATATGCACATCTTCAACCCAGTGGGGGTTTTGGGGTATGATTCGCTGGACTCCCCAGGCTGAGCTGTGCAGTCCTACTGCCGGAGGGTGTGGTAGACCTCAGCCATGCTGTCTGGATGCTTATGTACTACAGTGGGTGAAAGAGGAAGTGGTCAAGAGGAAAACAAAAACCACAAGGAAAAAAATCTTTAATGCTATTTATAATGCTCAGCGGCCTATTTAAGATGAATTCCATTTATGATAATGAACCTTTAAATGAGGCCATTTTCAATCGTTACATAGACGCTGCCTGGCGCTAACCACAATACTTAAGATTTCCTGAGGATGGGACCTGGCTTTGTAGCCTCGTTTACTCCTGTGGTTTTCTGATTGTGCTCTAAGAATCTCAGAGGTCCCTGGAGACTTTCCTTCGAGTTTCTTGGGGGGATGAGGGGGAAATGTGGTCATGGTGGACTGGCTTAATTTCTATCTGCTTGCACCCCTCCAAATATTCCGCCAACATCCAAACAGGATTTGATGTTATAAGACATGGAATAGCAGGCAGAAAAGACCCACCATTGGCTCAAAGTCAAGGCACCCAAGACATTTCCTAGAGTTCTGAGTACACAAATAGCTAACGTCTTTCTAAAATGAGGCTGTAATTAAATAAGTCAAATGGAAAAAAATGGAAAGGATTTTCAATTAGGAACGCAGGATGTTCACATGGCCGCACAGCGCACAGCGCACAGCGCCGGCAGAGAGCTGACTCTCTTCTCTCTTCATGTGGGAGCTGCTCTGGTTGGCCTGGGCACCCACCTCTCCCACTAAAGGATGGAATCCTAGACAGAATTTTCTCCCCTTCATTCTGACAGGTAGCCTACACACCGTCAGCGCCTGTTGAATGATTTGCTGTGAGCAAGCGGCTAGCAGGATGTTGAAACATGAACTGGAAAGCAGAACTCTGACTTTCCACTCATCCAGGAAACGTTACGCAGTGCCACCCAAGGCCTTTACATGGAGGGCCTTGCCCTGTGTCCCATACCTGCCTCTGAGGGGGGTCACGTCTCTTGCTGTGTGAGAAAAAGGCACACAATGTATGCCCTCACTCACAGGGGGGGCTAATTAAACTGCTCTCAGGCATAAGGTGTAGGGCAGTGGTGACTGGGAGCTGGGAAGGGTGGCGAGAGGGTGATGGAGGCCACCAACCGGGTACAAAGCCACAGTTAGGTAGAGGAAGTCACAGCATTCTACAGTAGAGTAGGCCTACTATATCAAACAGTAATTTATATTTCAAAAGAGTTAGAAAGTATTATGAGTGTTGAATATTTGAGATTTTATAAAATCATATATATGTATAATCAGTATAGGAGATATGTATAGATCCTTATATACAACATACAAATGTCAAATATGCCATACCCCCAATGAAATATATAACTAGTATCTATTTAAAATATCTTAAGGGAATAAACACTAGTGCTTCGACTCCCTGAAGTCAATTTATTCCAAATAATTGTCAGTGGTCAAGATTTCCACCAAGTAGCCCTTCTTGCTCATACAGCTATGCCCTCTCCACCAGGGGATACCCCTGCCTGCACAATGCACCTGAACATAGTGAAGGGCCCTCTTCCTAGGATGTGTCCTTGTCCTGAGCACCTAGTCAGATGAACACCCTTTTGGCATTAATTTGAGGACCGTGCCATCACCCCCAGTCTCTTTCCCACTCTGATAGACCAAAGCCCTAACCGCCCCCCACTGCCCCTGCCCACCCTCCCCCCGACACACACACACACTTTACCTCAGGATTCAGACCTGCCTTTTAGCTCTGCTGGGCATAGCTATTTCTGGCAGTATGGTTCTCTACTAGTTGAAGCAAAGAATTGGTCCAAACCCCATGTGAGCTGTTCCCAGACTCTCTCTGTGGAAGTGCCAAGGGACTCCCTGCTTGGGGCATCTGGCACTCAGATGTGTACACACCAGCCTGGATGTACCTGGCCCACAAGCTCACGGGCAACCTTGTCATATGTCAGCCTTGGAGGCTGGGGTTCCATTGTGGTTCCTTCTCTAGGAGACTTCATCCTGGTACTCAGAGCCCAAGCCACCTCTTAACCCTGTCACTGCCTGGAGCAACAGCAAGGTGGGGGACAGGAACCACCCCAGATGGGAACAGGGCCCAAGGACCATCCCACCTCGCTGATGTCTGGGAGCAGACCGGGCAGTGGCCCTGGAACCCACTTCCTCTGCCCTGAGCTCTGAAGATTCCCACGTTGGCTTTTAATGCATGACCACTCTTGCTCCACCTCACATTCCTGACTTTCCAGAGAAGAAAAGAAATCCTGAGACTGGTCCCCGACATGTTTCTAAGTGGTTAAACTAAGGCTTCTTCCTACCCTCCAAGGTCTGTCCTTCCAGCCCCAGGCTTGCCTTGGCCATCCCTCAAGCCCCTGCCCACAGCAATGGTGGCCTTTCCTATTTGCCTCACGGTGATTACACCAAGAACCATCTGAGGTGTTGGCTGTCAGTCATCAACACATCTCAGTGTTTCTCCTATCATGTAACAGAAGAGGGGACTGGGACATAAGGGTACACACTGAGCACCGTGGTGGCCCTCAGAGAAAAGCTCCCAGAGATGGCAGGGGTGGAGAATGGTCTCTCCTCCACCATTGGCCACACCCAAGCCTCTGCTGGGCTGAGACTGACAAACCAAGCTGGAAGGGTTTTATCCGCTGTAATTTCCTCCTTGATGAACTTGTTTTATTTTAGGGCTTGGATAAAACAGGAGCCAGATGACATAAAATATAAAGCCACTTTAACACAAAGCTCCCTGCTGTTTTTTCTCTTTTCCCTCTATTAGAAAATAAATTATTTATGTAAAAACAGCATTCAGCTGATCATAATGACATATAATTGAGATTGAGATTTTAATCACCCAATTGGGGCAAAACTAGAGAAATCATTTTTCAAGAGTTTTGATGCAGCACAAACTTGCAATGGTACTCATTTAAAAAAAATACCAATTTTCCTTTCTTTTGAAAATTTTCTCCCAAATGTTCGACAAAATCATTACTTACAGCTCAGACAAGTCAAGGTGGCGGAAATGCTTCCTCGACAAACTCGTCAGCTTGTTTCGTGTGAGATTCCTGGGAGAAATAAGATGCATTAAGTGTGAATTTAAAAGGTTGTGGTTTTAAAATGATGTGTTCAGATACATACTTTGTTTTCAAAATGTAATTTTCTTGGATTGGGTACACATGTTCCTCAGACCCCATGGTGTCTTTTACCTAGAAAGCCAACTTCCTGGGTTCCCTGCCTCTCTCGCAGTTTCTACGCGCTATGGAAGAAGGGTGGGTACCTCGCAAAGTCTATTTTTAATATCTTTGTTTCACCCAAGAGCTTATGCTTCACAAATTGACTGGCGGTCCAGTCCCAAGCCTAGTGGAGATCCTGACTTTTGAACATCAAGTTGGGAACTATATAATAAGATAATAACATCGTAAGCTCATGAGAACAGAAAAACTTTACAGCTATAAAGCATCTTGAACATTTTAAGGGATGTGGCAAACAAAACTTGGAATAGACATAGAATTTAAGCCGTCTTTCCAGGGAAGAGCACACCTGACTGGAACAGACCTGATGAGACCATGAGCACAGGGCAAGTAACACCAGGAGGGCTCTATCTTGAACTCCCCAGAAATACGGCATATTTAGATTTACATAAACCAATGGAAAGTTGACCTATTGAGGGTGAAAAACTAAATAAATAAATAAATAAAAACAAAACCTAATGAATTTCCTGGTGTGTTCCAAATATACATTTTTGTCAAGCAGGTGGGCATTTTCGGTGATCTGGGCCACAATCATTGGGGTGGGAGATTCCCAGCCATCATCCTGGCAGCTGAGTTTGTTTACTGCTTAAATTTTACTTCAAGCTATGAGATACACGGTCTAACAGTGACAGCAACCCTGGCCCTAACCTGTATCTGAGGCCAGAATGCTGTGTTAGTCCAAGGGTATCTCGGTGGAAGGGCTCTAATCCATGTGAGCAGGCCTCTTAGAGAGCCAGGAAAACCCAGGAGCTGAATCAAGAGCTAGAGCCAGCCAGCCAGCTGGGGAATGGTGAATGTGGCTTCTCAAAACTCATGGGTGACCATCCGGTGAACCTCCTTCACAGAGATTCCCACCCACCTGAACCCGGGCTGACAGCAGGATGCCCTTGTGCCTTCTACGCTTGTATCTTCTCCATCCACAGGAGAGCAATGTGCCTATCCCCAGGAAATGGTACCCCACATCAAAGTATAATCCACCAGGAAGTCGTAAGACATGCCCATATAAGGCTTTCCTTTCAGAACATGAACTGAGAATGGCTTTGGTGGAGCCCATCACATCAAAAAAGTCTATGCCTGCCTTTCAGGCTCAGACACGTTCCTATTCATCACAATTCCCAATCCTTCTGAAAAAGTGGGAAAAGAAATAAATCCGGTCTTCTCTCCCAAGATAAATAAAAACAGAGAGAAGGAAAGAAGGAAGAGGGGGTGAGAACGGAGGTGTGGAGGAGAGGAAGAGAGAAAAAGAGGCAAAGAACAGGAGCGAGAGGAAGCGAGGGGAGGAATGGGGAAGAGTACCCATCAGCTCCACACCACCCTGTAGAGCAGCCTCCCCCCCCCCCCCCCCCCCCGCTGCTCCACGCTGCCCTCCCGGGAAGCAGCTGCTCTATTGGGTTGCCAGCAGCACAGTGCAGCGCGGGGTTACGAGCCAAAGAACAAGATGAGTTTTATGAAGCATACATAGGAATGGGGCCAAAAGCCAAAAAGGAGGAAGAAGGAAGAAAAGAGAATCAACAATCCTCTTACTGTTTGATTGTAAAACTTTGTTAAGAGCATAATTAGCACCTCGGCAAAGCCCCTGGAAAATACACAGGCTGGCTTTTCTCACAGTCCCTGTGGTTTTAGGGTCTGGGCAGCAATTAAAGGCATCTAGACATACATCCAGAGAGGAGCTCTGAGTGGTCACTGTGTGAGGCTAACATGGACTAGGCAAACTGAGGCAAGGGTGAGCCATGGCTCCCCTCTGAAGTTTCTCAAAGTCCGGAGGGCCATAGCCCCATCTTTCCCTTGTCTGTATAGGAAGGGGAGCTAAGAAGGGTTGTCAGGCCAGCCTAGCGCTGGGGAGAGACAGCTTAGCACACAGCTCTTCCTTAGCCACATGCAGCCCACTGTGTTGATAACCGGGGTCAGTGCAATTTGCAATCAGGAAATCCAGGGGAAACAAACTGGTCCCCAGAGTCCTTAGTCCTAAGCAGAAGCTGGGACAAAAGGCAGATGCTAGACCTGACTCCCCTCTCCATCCCTACCATCCTCTAAGACAGGCTAGCTTCATTCGGCGGCTAGAAAAAGCCCCTTTCTTCAAGTGGAAGACTGAGTGAGGCTTGCTGGCATCTCTCCACTCTTCGTGAGTGCCTGAATACTGCCTAATGTCACTGTGTCCTACTGCTTGACAATAGCTACACAAATCAATAGAGTTTTTGAAGCTTGACCAATTATTGGCTCTGGGTTTGTAGTCTGGTAAGGAAGCTATATAGAATATCTACCCCTCTTTACTGTCCTATCTTAACACCATATCAAGAGGCAGGATCAGATACATAACTTTACGGATATGCACACTAGAACATCATTAAAATTGTTCTATTACATAGCAACATACAAAAGAAAGACACAGGAGGCTATCAATAGAATTACAATTAGCCCTGGCCCTCTGTTCATATTTTAACAGGAGTATCAGTCCCCCAGGACTCAAACAACACACAATGAAACTGCTGAGCAATTTGGGTCTAAGGTCATCTGTAATGAAAATTCGAAAACTTAACTATCAAGGTCATTAATTACTTCTGAGAGACAGCACTGGGACATTTTTTCCATTCTCACCCTGCTGACACCAAGGGCTACCCATACATCAGGTTTGCCCCAACAAACCAATCCAGACAGGCTGTCAAGAAGTATTTCAAGAAAAAAAAAAGTGTTTTAAAATGTGCCCAGAGTTTTATTCCAGTTTTGCAGAATGTTTTATATCTTAGAAAGTGACTTCATTATTCCTGCCACATATAAAATATGAACTCATAATAATGACTTTATGAAATTAAAGTCTTCAGTAAAATCAACACATCTCCACAAGAGCACCCAGGCAGTCTGATCTAAGACAATGGATTCTTTAATAACCGACATGGAAACCAGGCTGGGAACTGTTTTCCCCAGGGAGGGAGAAGGGGCAGATGTTACAAGATGATAGTGATGGCTGAGAGTTTATCTCCCTTATTCCTGTCTTAAGAACACGGTGAAGAGCTGGCCAGCAGGTAAGTCACACCGCTCCCTCAGACTGGCTTTTTGTCTGTGTACTGGGGATACAGACATCGCTCTGTGCAAGTAAAATGTCCAGGTGAGACCCAGCGGGTTTACCAACTAACCGTGAAATGCAAAGAGACTCTGGTCAGCAAGAACTCTGATGACAGCCCTCCAGCAAAAGACTGATTCCACCCAAACTCGTGTGAGGGAATCTGAGCTAGGTGGCGGGGGGAGGGGAGACCATGACATTTTTGTTTTGTGGGTGATCTGTTTGGTAGGCTATCTCAGGAAGCGCATAATTTGTTGACTTAACTGGTAGCACTGAGGGGCTTACCAGAAAGCTATATAACAACTCTTATTTCCTGTGGTTCCAATTGACTCCAGTCAACAAAATACCAACATGACTTGGGGCAAAGCAGCTCCTACTACTAAGAGTCATCTGACCTGTTAGCATAGTCAGTGATTGATTTTCTTTCCTCTATTCTTATCAATCCATGGCACATGCTGCTGAGAAAATGAAGGCTCAAATGGTTCTATTATAAGGGAAAAAGCATTAGTAATTTTTATTTCCTTAAGCCATCCAAGGCCAAGTCAGCATCTTGATTACTTAGCTTGATGTCTTCCAGGGAGTATGTCTTATTCCAAAGAAAAGAATCAAGACCTTTGTACAAGGACATCGTTTTCACATCAGAGTCCTTGCCGTTGGCCCAGAGCTCTGTCCAAGATGGAAATGGCCCAGAAATTCACAAAAGGGAATGAACAGACTGTTCTAAGCATCCCCAAAGCCATTCTGAAATCAAACACAATCAAAGCTAATGCTCCTAAGCTGCTATCAGGGCGACGTTAACTACCAACGGGAAGGCTGGGGCTGGAGAAGGAAGAAGAAAAACAAGGGTGAGAAAATCCTGGGCCAATGGCTCGCTACTCACACGTGCTGCAGGTTGCTGTTTTTCAGAAAGGCTTTGTAAGCCACGAATTTTAATCCAGAATCCACAATAGTCCTACAGAAAACACACAATGGCATTCACGTTAGAATTAACCAGCAAGCTGCCTGCCTGAGCACAGCAGAACACAAGAGGAGTCTGAGGTAAGGACGCAGGGAGTACTCACAGGTTTTTCAGCCCCACATAAGCTTCCACATCATCTTCGTTGATGATCTCTAACCTTTTCTGATTTGCGATGAAACTGTAACAGAGCAGAAAGGAGATGTGGGTGACTCAGAATGCTGATGCTCACATGGAATGATGGGCAATTTCCGTGCCACCTTACCAAGGTGGCCAAGGAGTCCCCTATGCAATACCCCTACGCAGCACAATGGCTACATTCTTCCTTTGGTATCACTGGTTCTTTGAGAATTGGGTCCAATTTACTTTGATCATATCATCCCCATTCCTCCAGCTACCCCTAGATCCAGCCCCAGTCCTTTCTTCCCAGGGAAGGCAACAGTTAAACTAACCAGATTTCACCATCCCTGGCCAGTTCACTGAGGTCTCCTCGTGCATCTCTTTCCTGCCTAAAAATTTCAGTCCCCCCCTCACCCCTTGTAAAGGCACCACCATTGGGCAAAGGCGAAATGTGTCCAGAAGTGGAAGAAAGGTCGCATGTTTCTGCACATTCCAAGAGACACAGTCACTTCCCCCTTTTGTCTTCTAAAACATGAAGTGCATTCCCCCCACCCCACCCCCACTTCTCCCTCATGTTCTTCTCTTGGCCAGCATTCTCTCCTTCTGCCTTAGTCAGCAACAATTTCAGCAGTTCCTTTGATGAACCACATTCCACAAGCCCCAGGTGGCCCTAGTGAAGTCTCTGTAGGAAACTGTCCTTCCTCCCCAGCCCACAAGGCTTCTAAATATATGAGTTAACTAAGGACTCTTGCTAATGACAGAGAATAATAGTCCCTTGGCCGTGATGATTGGCTGAGAGATGTGCACGTGACCTCAGTGAGACCGGTGAAACTAATCCTTAAGATTTAACACTATGAATCTTGGAAGAGAGGTGTTGGGTCTTTCTCATTCTCTGGACTCATAAAGGAAGAATAACACTAGCCTAGGGCCTCTGGTGGGCAAATCTACCACAAGAAAGGGGCCATCCAAGAATGAAGTCAACAAGAAGTGAAATGAACAGTGTCATCAAACTACCACTTGGGTCTTTGAATCTAGCCATTTCTAAAGCTAAATATTACTAAACTAGCTTGATCTGGACTTCTGTCAGGTACCATCAATAAAGTCGTCAATAGTGCAAACATACAGCTGTTAAAATTACTATCCTGGAGGGTTTTGTGCTCTGCTTTGTATGACAGCTGTGTAAGAACCCATCTCTATAGCCTTAGGTCACAGCCTCTTTGAAAACAGAATTGTTTCTATAATTCTTAACATGTACCACAGCTCCTAGGTTAGTCCCTTAAACAAAGCAGGTAGTACACAGAGGATGGATGGATGGATGGATGGATGGATGATGGATAGATGATAGATGAATGGGTGAACAGTGAATGATGGATGGATAATGAATGGATGGGTGAGTGGATGTATGATAGATAGATAGATAGATAGATAGATAGATAGATAGATAGATAGAT